CAGCCCCATTATTTGCTCACGTGAGGTGATCTGCAAATCGGGCGTTACTTTTGTTGGCTACTGTACGTACGTACGTAACTCTAAAAACATCAAAAACGTAACTTTTTTTGACCCGGCTTTAAGGACCCCAAAATTAGTATATGATTATCACTTATATAATACGTTGTATTAAAGAAATATTTTTTTATTAGCATTAGTATATTTGATGATTAAAAATTTGTTTTTATAAAACAAGCCGTGGGTCCCCGCATATAAAAAAAACTTTAAACCAATTGAATCGCTTGTGTAACAATCTGCAAACTCTGGCATACTCGGGACGGTCCCTCCTGTTTGGTAATGGTTGTCGGGGATATATATATTTTCGGGAAAGTGGCTTATATCGTAGAAGTGGTTGTCAGAAAAATATTGTCGGGGAATTATTGTCGGGGAAGTAGTGTTGGAGAAAAAATTTGTCGGGAAAATAGAGGTGTTGTGTCGGGGAATTGTTGGGAAAATATTTTCGGGGAAAGAGGTGTCGGGGAGCCGAATTTTAATACGAAGGTCGAATGATTTAGAATGATTAAGCTAATATTATTATAGTCTGGTACGAATGCTTCAAGTTCACTTGGTATGCCTGGCTGGGTTCACAAAAGAAATAATCTCCCGATCTTCCGAAAAAGTACTGTAAAACGTATAAAAAAATTCCGAATCAATTGAATCGTTTGTGTAAAGATCTACAAACTCGGGGCATACTCGGGACATTCCTACCTCGAACAGCCCTACATAATAATACGTAATGTTTTTGATTATTACAGTTTTACATTGTCTATTCAAACTATAACTTTTTTTGGATGGATTTAGATTTAATAACGATAACTAATTAAAAGCAAATTGAATATAAAGATAAATCGTATATTTTATAGGCCCTGTCAGCGGTTCAGACTTTTTTCAGCAGTGCGGTATATGCATTATTAAATATATGTAACAATTCAAATTTTTTTTGCTAAACCAAATAAAGCATCCGGATTACTGTATTAGGGTAAATATAGTATATACTAATGAAAAGAGTCATATATTTTACACATGTACAAACGTACGTAAACGCTCAGAAAAAAAATATGTATTTGTTAATAATTAAATAAATCATTATTAATTTGTGCATATACGATAATGATAATAATTACGCCGACTGGCATCCCTTGTGAAAAAATTTGGCATATTTTTATTTTATGCATGAACGTTTATTGAAATGTTAAAGAATCTCCTCGCATTTAGATTGCCAGCATAAATATTTAAAGCCCGGTCATCCCGTCATCAAATATGAATAATGTACGTACTTAATAATGTCTTCAATAGAACAGCCTACTCAAAATCCCATCATCCTTTGGGCCCATCAACGTGCAGTTTCCAGTGCATTCGAACGTACTTTTGTTCAACGAACTGATGAATTTATCTGTTTTCATGAACCTTTTGGTGAAGCTATATACTTTGATGAACCTTTATGTGAAAGAGTACATTTTAATAAACCCCACTCAGATCAAACTCCTTTAAACCATTTCGATAGTGCTTTTTATATTAAAGAGTTGCTAAACAAAACTGTGTCAAGAACTTATGAGCAACCTTTTAACGAATCTCTGAAAATATCTTTTACAAAAGTCCTGGATAAGATATTGTTAAAGGATCAAAGTCAGAACGGAAATGATATAAAACCAAAAAGAGTTTTTGTAAAAGAGATGGCCATGTTCATTAAAGGACACTACGGACCCAATAGTGATAATTTTTTCTCAAAAAATACAATGTCAAAGATTAAGCATACTTTTCTTATTCGTGATCCAGTGAAATCTGTTAAGTCATTGTATCGAACCTCAATGGCAATAAACAAAGATCCTACTTCTCCTTGGTATGGATATGAATTTATTCCATTAAGCTTAGGACTTTCAGAACTTGTTGAACTCTTTAACTATGTTAAAGATGAGCTGGGACAAACACCTATCGTCGTAGATGCTGATGATCTTTGCAATGACTCTAAAAAAGTATTGGGCAAATATTGTGAAATGGTGAACGTAGACTTTAAAGAGTCTATGTTAACTTGGGAAGCCGGGAAAATTGAGGGCTGGGGAAGATATAATGGATGGCATAAGTAAGTTTATTTCTTTACTGATATAAAGTTAATGCTTCATGATTTTAACATTACATTCTTTAAAAAATTAGCGATGCAGAACAAAGCACTGGTTTTGGCAAATTCATCAATAAAACAAATGATGATATAGAGTACCCACCAATTGTTTATGAAACTATTCTTAACAATAAGCCCAATTACGAATATATGCGCCAATTTAAACTGAAGTTCTAATGATTCTTTTTTAATAAAAGTGTTATTTTATAAATTAAATGCAACTTTGTCATTTGTCTCTTTGGTTTTAAAAACGAAGTAATCCTTGAAATTGAATATTTATTATGTTTTAATGTTTTATGTGTCATTTTCAATTTATGTCAATTATTAATAGACTACATGTTATTTCTTACTATGTCAATTATTAAATGACACACGTCATGTCTCAATTTATTTGCATATCGAAGTTGTGTACAAGGTTGTACTCCAGATGATCTTATGATAGGTCGACAAATAATTAGCCAAGATTTTAGAAACGATAACTAGAACATGATCATGTAGGTGGCTTCGCTGCCATAATATTAATATTAAAGATAGTGGAATTTTTCGTCTTATTCTTATTTTTATTTTGAAAAGAAATCTTTCTTATACCTTTCCGTCATAAATTTAAAGCATCAACTTGGGCTCCTCTGGGACCAAAGTTGCGCATTAAATTTAATGTTAAAACGTGATCCGTACAGCCGCAGAAACATAGCATAGCAAGATTTCATCACCTGCCAAATAAAACTCTTATAGGACGTGTAATGTCCAATAATATAGAGTTATTGGATGCGAAGAAGCAAATAATAGGTGTTATTTGAAAAATACTCCATTATCTGGCTGCGTAGCATTCAATAACGGTATTATCCAGGTAGTTACGACGACCGAACCAACAGAATGACTCGAGTTATTTTGATGATGATTGAGTCAATATCAAATAACGAAGTTATTTGATGATGATGCAATCACCATCAACATAACTCAAGTTATTCTGTTGGTACGATCATAGTATCTGCCGGATTATATTCTTATTCTGGCCTAATTTCTATATAATTGCTATTGATTAACATGGTGCACATTTTCAGAATGTGGCTAAACTTGAAATTGATCTCCGCTGTACCAATAGAATAACCAATCACGTAGATTTTGTTTTGGTCGGGGGCTGAGTGAGCTGAATTACATAATTCTTTCGTTATAGTTTTTTCGTTATGTTCTTTGACGATC